GGTAACCTGAACCAAGGCTTGAAGGAGGAGAATTTTGCTAACCCACAAACCCAGTAGGATTCCAGGGCAAGAGAGTTGTAGGCAGGCTGGGAGGTGTTGAAGCCCTGAGTAAATATTCACAGAATCATGCAACTGAAGGGCTCTGCATGCCATACTCAAGTGCAGCTGACCCTGAACAACAGGCTTGAACTGCACAGGCCCACTTATACAGATTTTTTTCCCCATAAATACAGTGCTGTAAGTGTATTCTCTTCCTTATGATTTTCTTAACATTTCCTTTTCCTATTTATTGTAAGAAGACAGCATATAATACATATACAAAATGTGTTAATCAACTATGTTATTGGTAAGGCTTCCAGTCAACACTAGGCTATTAGTAAATTCTGGGAGAGTCAAAAGTTATATAGATTTTCAACTGCATGATAGTTGGGGGGGAGGGGGGCATGCAACCCCTGCACAGTTCAAGGATCAACTACTTATTAATAACAAAATCACATTCTACACATTGGATTAAATATATCAGTGGTTGACAAAGAAGTAAACACAGCACAGACTTACCTAAATTCTTGAAATTCTGCAAAGAAACTGTCCTTTTCCTCATCACTATTGAGAAAATCATCTATAGAGTCATCATCATCTAAGGAATACAGAACACAACTAATTAGGACTGGAAACAAAACCTAGATGCCAGATTTTAACAACTACTGCAGTAGATTAAAAATGTGCACACAAGTGACAGGAGTAAGTAGGTGTAGACAAAACAAAAGTAATTTTTTCTGGAATTTATAACTGTACCAACATTCCTTTTTAGAAAGGGAATGAAAGTGAAAGCAAAGAATTAGTGACTTTAATAAATACATCCTAGTATTCACATATTGTTCTACATGTTTCTGTGTTCTTTAGGCCAGGAGCCTGATTTTCTAATTCCTATCACCCCAGTTCCCCTCACTATGGCTCCAGCCTTGTCAGGGGCCAAAAAACTAGGTGTTCTATAAAAACCTGCTAACATGAATGCCCTGTGCTTTCAGCATGGCCAGAAATTTCTGGCACTGCCTGAACCCAACAAAGGAATTTCTCAAAGGGCAGAAACAGGCTATCCCCATGCTGTGAATATTCAGGCACCAGGAGGGACTGCTTTCAAAGACTGGCATGACACCCAGGAGATACTGAAGTCTGGATAGATGGATGAGATGACAGCCCACTCTCCCAATAAATCCCAAGGAGCCCCCAGCAGCAGGAAGGTGACCTATGCCAAAGGCAGCCGCCCATCTGAGCCTAGCTCAAGTGAACTGACAGCTCCAGCCAGGACCGTGGAGGGAGAACTGAAGCCATGACTGGAGAAGGATCCTGCCAGCAGGGTCCACCCCTCATTCCCAAACTACAGCTACAGCATTTATCCCCTCTGCCCCCCTTGTTTCTTGTCCTTAACAATACCTTCAGGCTGCTCTATAATACATAACAGGTGCCCCACTCTTGGTGCTCCAGGCTAAGGAAGGTGCCATCATTCCTGACTCCCTGCCCCAACCCACATCTCTTTCCTTTCGGCTTCTTTTACTTGAAACCTTTTCCTAGGTTGGCTGGTTTGAAATCAACCAATCCACCTTTGTCTTCTGCAGGCTTTATAGTTTTTGCAGTAACAGCTGAT